AGCGCTTGAACTCTGAAGTATTGAGGCATACTCGGGTGTGCTTTCCAATTCCTATGAGGGAATTTCTGAAGGTTTCTCTGCAGGTTGTTCCAACTCACCTGGATTCTTACCGCACATGACACCATTGATGTTGGCCTGTATTCTGAACAACTTCTCTATCGTTCAATGTCTTCTACTCAGAGGCCATTCAATCGATCTTCCTCATCACACCACATGTGGGTTTACTTTCGGATGATTCCATTAGAAGCTGTTAGAAGTAAATGAATCCCTTCAGGCAAATGCGATGTATGCTTGAGAATGTCTAACAACAATATGGATGGACTGCGGAGGGTATGTGAAATCCCCATTTGTGAAAATTGCTAGGGCACAGGGCACATATCGGGCCTTGTCGCTTAGCTTTATTACTCCTCGTATAAAAGTCAATGGTGCGGCGATGATAAAAGTTTTAAGTAGGTATGAGAAGTACAGTCTAGCTAAGGGTGAGCGCGCTGACAACTGTGAGTGTCCGGATGTAGACGGGTGTATATGAGAGGAGAGTCGGCGCAGGAATCCGCAACTGTCGCCGTAGCCTTCCAGGAGGCGCATTTCTTGCCCTCACAATACAGCACTGTAAATATCGTGTGAACAAAGGAGCACGGGTTGCTCACGAAAGCGTTAATACACCTCTCATCTTCCCACAGACACAGTCTAAGCACTGCCTACAACTAAGCGAGTAAAAGCTCGCCCTCCGACCTCCAGTATGCGCTCCTAATTGAAGACAATTCCCTGCGATCAAGTGTTACGGGTAGTAGGTGCTCAGTCATGAACCAGTAGCCCATAAGTAACTCCCCAGTAGAGAAAGAAGCGAAAAAACCTTGGGAACACTCTGAACAGAGACCCCTTAGCAGTGGGGTCGCCACCTTGGACGAGTTTGTCGGACGTCGGCAAGCCCGACCAGTAGGTTCAGAGGTGCAACCAACTCCCGGCAAGAGCACAGGAAATCACCCTACGACGCTCCAGGCAACGCTATGTACACACGCAGTTCCGCTTGTAAGCCGTTGTCTTGCAGAGTGAAAGTAGTCGTGGTTGCAATGTTTGCAATTGTCAAGCGTCTCATGGTCACGCTTTTTTAGCACGCCATTTCTAATGACTAAAGTGGTACATTCTCTGCGGATGCGGAGAACGATACCACATGCACGGAGCATTTCGCGGACCATTTGATCGCGGGAAATGTCTTCAAAAATAAAACATTTCTGGAAACACAAAAGGAAGGAAGTAATTTCTTCAAGGCTAATCTGAGGGACGCATATACTCCTAATACGGAGTAAGCGTGGCATTTGAACACAGCCTAGGTTGCGTTACTCGTGGGATATTCCAATTTGGGACAACTGTCATTTTGTTCTTTGTTGGAC